TTTTTTTTTTTTTTTTTTTTTTTTTGGTACTGGGGATCAAACTCGGGACCTTAAGATTGCAAAGCAGGTGGCAGAACCACTGAGCTAAATCCCCAGGCCTATGAGCTAATTTCTTTTTAAAAGAATTTTGATTAGATATGAGACTAAACAGGCTGGAAGACCACTGTGAAACACTGTTAGATGCAGTCTTTCAATCTCCTAGATTTTTGAATGACAGCATGTCCTATAGGAAAGTATATGCTAATAACTCTTTTGGCAATTATTTTTTCATTAAAATATTTGGTAAACATTAGTATTAGTAATTGTGCTGAAGGTGGGTTAAAGATCAAAGAATAAGTCCTTTAAGTTTCTGAACAGGAGAACAGCTTATAGACACAGTGTATTGGTTTTACATTTCTCTTTGTCTAGCATGGCTTTGCTTAATTCCTATTTATTAACTGCTCCTTGCCTTTTAATATCAGCTTGACTATGATGCCTTCTCTTATTCACTCAGAGCTAAGTGGATCTCCTTAAATGCTCAGGCACTTGTCCTTTGTTACAAAACAAGATCTCCAGCTGAGAATCTACCAGTCTTGAAATAACCCTGCAGTACAATGTTCTTCAGCCTGTATTTGCTAAGAGTCAACAATATAGTAGGACCCTTGAGCATCTGCTATCTTAGAGGCCAAATGACTGAACATGTCTAAAAATGGGAAAGATGTTAATAGTCTGAGGCAATGGTTCTTGAACATCAGCAGGCATCAGAATCTTAAATTGCATTTGCTTGGGTCTATCCTGAGAGTTTCTGAGTTAGCTGGTTTAGACGAGGCAGAGAATCTACGTTCCTTTTAAGTTTCAAGGTGTGTATCAGGTGTGTATCAGGTGTGTATCAGGAACTGTGCTGTGAGAAGCTGTGTTTTAGGAGCTGGTGAAAAGGAAGGAAAAGTTCCATCTCTTGCTCATGATTATACACAACCCAATGGGGCCATCACTGATATTCTAGGTCTCTTAAGCAGTAAGCATGACACCCATGGTCTGAGTTATGTGATTTTCTTCTTTGGGTAGTTCTATTTTCCCTCAGTCCACAGTATACCAACCTAAGAGGCATAGCAATACGCTGACATAGTGAATCAGTTTGCTGCTTCACAGTTAGGAGGCAATTTCAGAGATGTATGAATATACTGTGTTTTAAAATTTCAGTGAGGTTTCCTTAATGGCTACTGGTTTATTCTATTGTGTGGCATATGATTTAAAACAATTCAAATGGTGACTGGAGTAGATTCAACTAAAATTTTCCCCATCTTCCTAATGAGGAGGAAAGGCTGTTGAATGGGCAGATGAGAAAACTTCAGCTCTTTTATCCTTTAGTAAATTCTAATTATGGAGCCTGCTGCCACCCCGCTGTTATAATAGCTATAGTTCATTATGGAGTCTCTGCGTATACAGTGTGCTATTATATATGTATCGCTTAAATTAAGGTATACGCAAGTGCTGTGGGCATTTAATCTGGACAGCAGAGTTCAGGAATGGCCTACTAGTGTCCTCATCAGGGTTAAACTCTAGGGACAGTGGGATGAGAGAGGAGGGGAGTGAACTTCTACATATTGAAAGACCACTAGAAGCAATCAGTATGCTTGCTTCTGCTGTTCGCTCACAAATTGACAATGCACATTTTATTAATTAAAATACTGAATGCTGGAGATGAGTTTTTACTTATAAAAATGGTGACTGTGATTAATCACTACTGTGATTAATAGTAGAAGTGGGCTCATATCGTTATTCAAAGTACCTGGTTAAAATTTCTGATATTCTTTAATTATTCTCCATTTTTGCATGAAAGCACCCCAAGAAGATTTTTCCTCTTTACGGTTAGAGACTGTATCCTAGACAAATCATTCAAAGAGCCTATAGCTGTACAAGACCTCTAGAAGATTCTGTCAGCTGATGCCTGCCTCCAGAACTCTGCATTTCTTGTACAGGGACAGTCCACACAATGTGTCACTGTGGGTCTCACTGTGTGACTAAGTGGGCCAGGCTGGGTTGATCCTCCTGCTGCTGCCTCCCACAATGCTGGGATTACAGGCATGCACCACCACTCCTGGCTATATCTCTGTTTTAAATCACCACTTTTGTGATAATTGGTCACAACAGCAACAGGAATCAAATACAATTCCTTCCTTTTTTCCTCCCTCCTGACGTTTTGTACATTGTTCCTACCCTAAGCACTTCACCAGGACAACTCTTAAATCCTCCCCAGAGTTCAAGGCGTGTTCAGTGATCCTTTCTCCCTCCATACCTTTTTGACACAGTTGGAAGTAATTGTGCTCCTATAAAGCTCCAGAGCACCCTGTACCATGGACAATCCATTTAGTACATCTTTCGAATAACCAGTGATGTTGAACGTTTTTTCATATATCTATTTGCTGCTTTTACTTGTTTTTCAGATGTCCATTTTTGAACTGGGTTTTTATATTTGGGGGGCTTGATTTTTTTGAGTTCTTTATATATTCTGGATAGTAGATCTTTGTCTGGGGAACAGCTGGTAAAATTTTTTCCCACATTTTAAATTGTCTCTTAACTCCCTGGGTGGTTTCTCTTGCAGAGCAGAAATAGTTTAATAAAATGAGATCCCAGTTGTTGATTCTTTGTGCTAGTTCCCCTGCTACTGAGGATCTGTTCATCGTCTTTCCCTTATGTCTGCGAGAGTTCTTCGTAGTTTATCTTCCAGCAAGTTTAGTGTTTCTCTTTTAACATTTAGATCTTTAATCCCCTTGGATTTTAGTTTAGTGCGTGGTGAAAGATAGGGGTCTAGTTTTAATCTTTGGCAGATTGAAATCCAGTTTTTCCAGCACAATTTATTGAGACTATCTTTCCTTCACTGAGGATGGTTGGCCTCTTTGTCAAAGATGAGGTAGCTGAGTCTGTCAGGAGTTGTTTCTACATCTTCTAATCTATTCCACTGGTCCTCGGGTCAGTTTCTTTGTGAGTACCATGCTGTTTTTATCACAGTGGCTTTGTAGTATAGTAGTACATATTCTTCACTTGACTTATGTGAGGCAGGCTGTCTATATTTTTGCTGCTCCATGGTCCCTAGTTCATGGACTTCAGATATATCAGATTTGAATAGTCACCGAATGAATGAACTAAACAATATTAGCATAAAATATTTTAAAATACTTTCAGTAGCAATATGTGAGACATTTGGTATTTTGTGTAAAAATAAGAAAATAAATTGTAACATACATTTGCAACCTCATATGGTCCATGTAATATCTGCTCCATGTAATGATTTAAATCTCTGCATCTTTGGTGGTCAGAATTTGTAAAAGGTAAGTGCCACCAATGAGGAAACCTGTTTTAAAAGAAAAAAAATATATCTTCATTAGTATGAAAATCGACATCTTTGTTTTATGACTGTTGGCAACATGAGCCACTGCCTCCCACAGAAAGGCCAATAAAAACACCTGAAAAGCCAATGTCACATGATTCGTCTTACAAGTTTTCATTGGTATTGCTGTGCTTACTTGTTCTGCTTTGTCACTAATAATAATACTGATTAAATGTAGATATTCTTTCTTACTGTATTTGTAGCTGACTATATACTTTGTCCTTTAAATGGGAGTGTGAGAAATATTTTCCGGATTTGACAATTTATGATTTTTCAAAGAGTTCAGGTTGTATTGTCTCTTTGGAGCTTTCTACTGGCCTTACTAAATTAAGTCTCTTACGATGTGACATATGCTTTCTTTCCTCTGGTCTTAGTCTTTTGGACCAGTAGCAGTAACGTATCCTCAAGAGTCTGGCATACAGACTTTGAGTGTTAATCTCGAGGGGTGGATTGATGAGGCCAGGTGGGTGCAGGCTGATCTGTGAGTGGTCATGTTTGTTACCCACATTGCTGCTGAAATCCACCTGTCTAGTAGTCACCTACAGTAATTGCTTCCTCTGACTGCAGTCTTGCTGCTGTCTTATCTGTAAGTCTGCGGGATGGAGACCACGACTTGGCGGCTGTGCTTCCTGGAGGAATGAACACAAGGCTCGGGAAAGACTGTCAGCAAACACACAAATAGGTAACTGCATTCTGATGCTGACAGGAAATGCCAGGGAAATCTAAAATGAACATATTTTTATAGTAAATAGCTAACGTAATTTAAAAAATTCTTGTAGCTTTAAGTATTAAAATTTTCATATGATTTAGTTATGACAATTAGTAACAATACCACATACAAAATTAGTGATGGAGATTAACAACAATACTGCATATAAAATATGCATACAGAGCAAGGCTTTTTGAATTTTTCCTGTTGGTAGCATAAAAGAGCTTAACATTAATTCTATACTTTTACTGATGTTTTTGTACACATAACAGACTAAAAAATGTCATAGACAAACAATGTACATAAAAACTAAGGAATTCTGCTATAGTAATGTCATTCAATGGTTTGAACTCTTACGTGGAGGTGCAACATAGCAATTAGCTATTAGAATTAAGTTTTATGATCTCTTATCTGACAGTCCCATCATGTTCTCTCTCAATTTTGTTCAGGACAAAGACAGAAAAGAAAACAAGGGCAGGAACCACAAAACAAAAACAGATGGCTTGCAGACAGATTCAGTACCTGATTAGTAGAATAGTTTGCTTTGTCAATATATACACTAAGTTTTTATTTGCCTTTTTATCTGGTCCTCAGATGTTTTTATATCTTGAGCCAGTGTCACCAAAATGAGATTTTCAAGGGTTGGGAGAGGGCCTTGCTGAATCTAGAAAGGGGAAAGGAAATTCTCCTGTCCTTGAGCTGATTCATTTAAAGAAGGCCATTCGTTATAAGGGATATTTCCATGCCTGTGTACCTGTGGAAAGGACCCAGAAGTACAAATAGTCTGATTTGCAGGACGCTGCTCTATGCTATGACAAAGTAGAATTTTATTCTTTAAGACTGTAGCTTTCTGCTCAGACTTTCCAGATCAGATTTAAATAACTGTCATAGGGCTTCTCTCAGGAAATTCGGGAGTCAGAAGAAACCTTGCCCCTATCTTTCCTTTGTCTGTATTGACTAGACTTTGGCCTTCTTTGGAAAGTTAGCACACAAATACTGTTCAAGGCATAGAAGACTAACCCCCCAACGTGCATTGTATAAGTCATTTTTGGTGTTTCTTTTTGTACCGAAGGACTAAACCTAGGGCCTTCACACTGAGCTCCATTCCCAGCCCTTTTCAAAATTTTAATTTGGAGACAGGATCTTGCTAAGTTGTTAATTTGCCCAGACAACTGGGCTCCAACTTGTGATACTCCTGTCCCAGTCTCCCGGAGTGCTGGGATTGCAGGCGTGCACCATCATGCCCAGCCTACTTGTTTAGGTAGTCTGAATATCAGTGTGTGTACTTTGCCAGGCAGTAGCTGTGAGCAAAACAGAATCCTAACTAGAGCTGAAAACTGAGAAGAGGCATATGAAGAAAATGACTAGCCCTTCTAAAGTTCTTCAATTTACACTGATACATAAAAGTTTGAAATCAGAAAAGGACAGGTTAATCTATATCTCTAAATGATTAACTAGTAGGGTATGGTGGTGGCCACAGATGTTGGGTCTGGTATTTGTAGACCAATTTCGAGGTTTTTTGCTCACATCACATCTCCTTCTTTCTCAGTTATTCTATTACATTTTTTTTGATAATTCTTGAACCTGCTGCTTTAAAGTTCCCAGAACAGCTTTCCTTCCTTCTCAGCCTCTTGACTATGCTTTCACTCCAATTTCTTGACTTCCTGAAGCTTAAAGTGCTCTTGTTTCAAGATCTCTGTGACATCTGCAAGTACAATTTTTCAGGAATGTGAATTACTCAGTTTTCAATATTGGACATTATCTTCCATCCACCAACAACTGTGCTTTATAATTACACTTTCAAAATGATTACACTGTGAATGCCAAGTAAAGATGCACATGTACAGCATACACTGGGTGTAATATAGATATTTATATTCTTTTTTTGATGTTTATATTCTTAAAGGATCATTTATTTAAAACAATTCAGTGTAGATAAAAAAAATTGATTTATCTCACTGCCAATATCGTAATTTCTGGAAAGCTCGCCTTTTTAAAGTCAAGGTACATTTTTTTGTCATATATTGAAATCTAAGATCTAATTTTGGTTCCTTATAAGTGATAAAGATTCATACAAGTAATAGTTGTTTTCACTGCATTTGTAGTTTGCTTATGTGCAAAATTTTTATTATAATATGAATGGTCACAATTTTTTTCATTACTGTTTCAAAATGCACATAATTATGTTTATACAATGCAAGTTGAGTAATCAATAATTAAAAAGTTAATAAATGATGACAAGTGTGAGCTATAAATATATGAACTGGTATTAATACAGTTAAGTGTTTCTGCTACAGAAACAAATATATAAACTTTTTACTTTAGTTATTATTAAAAGAATAGATAAATCCAATTTAGTTCTGCCTTTTTAATTTTAATTTTATTTTTTATCAAAAACAACTGAGATTAGGTTAAAAACGGGTAAATAAAACAATGTCCTCAATCACTGCTGAGAGATGAAATAGTTTCTGATTTTTTTTTTTTTTTGTCTACAAAATCAATAGCTGGAAGAAAGAAGAAAACTGCAGACCTTGATCTGTTCTATGAAACAAGAGTCTCTACTCAGAGTAGAGCAGGCTGTCTGTTGGAAGAGACTCAGTGGTGTTGGAGTCAGAATACTGTGTTGCTCACAAGTGGAGAAATCTCATAGCCATAATTTTTCCTTTTGCTCAAGGACAAGTACTGAATGAAAAACAACATGGGAAGACAGTGCCTTACTCTGGGAGGGTCAGTGATGCAAACTGCTTCTGAAGTTGGTTGTGAAATTTTGAAAACTGGTCAAATGACTTTTCTGTCAGGCTGGTTTCCTTGTTACCACGTGTCACCTGGATCAAATACAGCTGCAGAAAAACAGACAAAAATCAAAACATGACAATATAACCTGCAATGGATGCTAAATCCTAGTTTTATGTAGACAAAAAAAAAAAGAAGGTTCTTGAAAAAATTAGCACAAGAGCAAAGAGATGTAATTTGCAAGAGTCTTACCTATAAACACAGCCTGTAAGGTATCATAATCTTATGTGCCGGAAAAGACTAATTTCTGCCGTTCTTTTCTTGTGGACATTTTAATTAGCCCTTGATTTATGTTCTACCACAGGGCAGGAACTGTTCCCTCTGATGGTTCTCTGATAATAGCTCTGATTGTTATGATTTTTCCTTAAAAACATCCTCTTAGTGGCCCTTGAGCTCTAATTGTAACCGATTTTTCATTTGCATAGTATAAAAAGAAAAGGTGTGGAATAGAGTTCGAGATGAAGTCAGAATGACAGATTTTACACTTACTTCACTGGGGTTCTTGCTGAACCCTAAAATTGTTGCCCTTTGAACTGACCCGGCTGTACTTAGTACACAGGAGTTCCGGGAGGACATCGGAGGAGATTTGGTGGGGTTCACAGCTGACATTTGCGCGAGTATGTGGATCAAATTGTTCAATTTAACAGGGAAACACTCCAGGCTTTCCTTTATTTTCCTAGAGAAATGAGGAGGGAAAGATAGTAACATTCCCCTGTATCAACTCATGTCTTTTATAATTTGTTTCCTTGAGTTAGCTAGATCTGCTAGCAGTGGTGGGAGACCAAGACCTGTACATGCTAATTTGAAGTCTAACTTTTAAACAATATTTTTTATAAACTTCAAGTTCACATCTGGACTTGATAGCAAATAGACAAGAAACTTGTATGGTGAAATATAGAAGCAGCATAATTGCAGTAATGCATTTTAACTTTAATAGGTTTGCTTTGTTTTGTTCTCTATGATTAGGAATTGTGTTTCAAAAAGTTTAATAGTAGTTTATAATTACTGAAAAATATTTCTGTAAGTTTCAAAGTGAAACCTATAATGCGATTTTTTTTTTTTTTTTTTGTTACGCGGGATCAAACTCGGGCAAGCAGAACCTCAGAGCTAAATCCTCGGTCCTATAATTTATGTTGAAAGAAGCCTGGCAGCTATATCCTTGCTCTCTACCCTATCCTGGCCTTCCTCTTTGTTTTGATTTAGATCTAGCCTGTCCCTGAAAAGCTTCAAGTGCCTAGAGGTGGGGCTTTTAGAAGGTGTTTGGACCACGGGGGCCCTAGACTCATTATTGGATTCATCCACTGATGAGTTCAGCAGCTGACCTGGGCTCTACTCAGAGAGGGCTCACTGCGGAGGATGTATGGCCCTTCTCAACTCCTCCCTTCTCTCTCCGCTTCCGGACCACCATGATGTGAGCAGCTGTCTTCCACTAGTCCTTTCTACAGAATGGTTTTTGCCTGGGAGCCAGCCAACTATAGAGTGAAAACATGAGCCCAAATAAATTTCTCTTCCCTTAGGTTTTAGGTGTCAGATATTTTGTCTAGTGGTGAGAAAGTTACTGAGCCACTCTTTTCGCATTTAAAAAAATTATGACTCAACTGTCACGATCTGATTTTTAAATTTTAATTCTACTTTTTATATATTTGTGTTCCTTTCTCAATTATCTTAGAGGAAAAGTAACAAATCGCAATGCCATATTTAATATACAAGTATTTTATATGAAGTAATTTTACTCTATGATTTTTTGTTTGGTTTTTGTTGGTTTTGTTTTTAGTTTTGGTGCCTTTTTTAAAGCTTTTTTTTAATTAAAGAAAATTTGCATTCTAATGTTATAATATCTTTACATATTCTTTGCCCCTGCTTTTGGTATTTTCTATTTATTGTCTACTACAAATAATATTGAAATTAGCTAAATTCATTTAATTCTATTTATTCTTCTCTAGTATGTAATTTTCAATATTATCCTTTTAATCCCAGTTAATACTATAAGCAAACAGCATGCTTTGTCGTTTTCATTTGTGCTTTCTATTCTCTACTTCCACTTACTGTAAAATCAGTCTATATTGTACAGTTTATGCACTATGCACATGATGACATTTATCTTATAACCAATTAATCATGAACTTTTTCTAGTACTTATGCTCTAATTGCTTCAAATTCTCATTTTGATTATCTGAAACTCATTCTCTAGGAAGTTCTGCAGGAATTGCTCAAATAGATATTTCTGAGTTCCCTTGTGTTGGGAACAGTTTGCATCCTTTAATACATGAAAGCTAAGCTGAGTTTGTAGCATCCTTTGCTCATGATTTCATTTTGGAGTGTTGTACAGATACACCATTTTCTTCTGGAATAAAGGAACAGTACCCAAAACTGATGACCTATAGTAAACTTCTCCTTGCAAATGAGCTAGTCTTATTACTTGCATACTTAAAGGAAGTTTCTTGTTCTTTAATGTCTATGGTTTTTCTAAAATATGTTTCAGTATTAGTTATTCTGGACAATTCTTCTGAATATGCAAAGTACCCTTTCAATATATAATTTCAATATTTTTTTCATTTTCCAGAAAAGATTTGTTAATTCTAGTGTTGAGATTTATTAAATACTGTACTAAATATAAATTGAGTTTGAATACAGTTTTAATTTATTATTTTGATTTGGGGGATCTTATTGCATGTATACTGGTTCATCACTGGTTTTCTTTATTTCTTTATTTTATTTCTTTTTTTTTGTTTGTTTTTTGTTTTTTGGTACCGGGGATTGAATCTTCTTTATTTTAAACATTATTTCTTTTTTCATTTCCTTTTTTTCTTGTAGCATTGTGTGTAGGTTTATGTGTGCTGTGTTTCTTCTAGTTTATTGTTTTCTGTATTATGTTTTCTTTTCTTCACAATTTTATCTTGAGATGAGTCACTTTATTTCTGAGTTCTGAATTTTTCCTTCATATATTTACAAATTCTTAAATATTTTAAAGCTCCACTGAAATACAGAGGCACAGTTTATCCCTAGGTGTGCGTGTGCGTCTGCATGTGCGTGTGTGTGTGTGTGTGTGTGTGTTGTCTTTTTGTGTGTTTTTACTGTAGGGATAATATAATTTTGTATTTTACTTCTTTTCTTGTTATAAGTTTGTATGTCATTGAATCATAGTCTGTTTTATTTTCTCATTCTAATGCAAAATTAGTATTCCAGACTTTCAGGAAGAAGTAGAGAACTTTGTAGGAGCCTGGAGCTTTCTCTTCTGTTTCTATCATATAATGTTTTAAAAATACGATTTCATATTTCCTGAGATATGCTTCCTTGTGCACTGAACTCCACTTTTTGGGGGGCTTTATTTTTTCCCTTTGCTACTTTTGTCCTCTCAGATTGGATTATGCTTTTAGCTGATTCTCTTCAGTGTAAGCTCTTTTCCTAGAAGAAAGCTTCAGCCACCCTTTGTGGGGACATAGACTGCTCTCTCTATTTTGGATTTGGTACAGAAGCCTTGCTTCCCTGAGAATTGAAGTGTTCAAAGCCTCCACCCCCACCCCAGTGTCAGTTGCACTTCTCAGATTGTCCCGTTAGTTCCTAATGAGGTTCTGCTGGCTTTTCTTTCAGTCCTTAGGCCCATCAGATGACTTGGTATCTCTCTTAGCTTCCTTCACACAGATGTGTGTACCACACAAGTTTTTTTTTTAACTGTTAATGGTTTGCCTTCACCCACTTGTGTTTTAGGATTCTTGGGTATACCTTGTGTGACGGTTCATCTTGATTCTCAACTTGATGTATACTTTTGGGTGTATCTGTGAGAGTGTCTGCAAAGATGATAGGCCTGTGGGAGCACAAACTGAGGAGGGTTACCTACCCTGAATCTGGACAGCTGCATACAGTAGACTGGGGGCCTGGATGGAACAAAAGCAGGAGGAAGCCTGCTAACATGGCTCTGGCTTTCTTTCTCTTTTTGCTTTTGGGAGGCCATGAAGTAAGCAGCTTTCATCTGCCATGTTTTCACCATGATGTTTCCGCCTCATTTTAAGACCTCAAAATGAAGCCAGTGGTTCATGAACTGAAACCTCTGAAATGCTGAGCCAATAATAAACCTTTTCTCCTTTTGGTTTATCCTCTTAAGTATCTTATGACAGCAATGGAAAACAGCTATCATAGTGTTAATTAACTTCACTTCAATTAAATATACCATTTCTATCCCTTAATGTACCTTTATTGAACCACCTTCGTTTGGATTAATAGTTTCATTCTCTTTTGACTGCTTTTTTGCTTAGAATTTGCCATAGGAAAGATTGAGAGCAAGAAGGTCACTATACTGACATCAAATTCCAAAGAAGTCAGACTATTCATATATCCAACACCATTTTAGAAAAGTAATTATAGCATATGCTTTGGTAAATTAATACCCCAAAGATTGTGAGGTCTGTATCTTCTGACTATTGCAAAACATCTTACTTTATTCTCTTTTTTGTTCCTGAAAAGGAACACTGCAAAAATAAGATCATAAGCCTACCACTACAGGCTCTGTTTCTCTTTTGCTTTTTACTTCCTGGCCACCAAGAGGTGAGCAGTTTTCCCTTGCCACATCTCTCTGCCATGATTTTTCCGCCTCACATCAGTCCCAGAGCAATGAACCAGATAAACATGGACTTTACCTTCCGAAACCATAAACCAAAATCAATCTTCCTTCCTCTAAATTGAATTTTCTCATATATTTTATCACAGTGACAAAAAGCTGCCTAACACACTTTGTTCATTTTTCTGTTATTCAAGTTTTTGGAATTTGCTAGTCTAGTTAATCCATCTTTTTATGGAGACTTACTTTTTATAATGTGCAAATCAAGCAATACAAAAAATTCAAAGTAAAATGTGAAAGATTTCTTTTTTCCTTCATGGGAGGAGAGTGGTCTTCCTCAAAAATAACAACTTTAATAATATATTATTATTATTTTTGTATTTTCTCTGTCTATCAATGAAAAAATACAGACATGTAAAAACACAGACACACAATACAGTGCTTGTATTACACACCAGATGTTACTTGAATGTTAAGATATAGCACTGGACAAAACAGAATTATTTTGCCCTTATAGAATTTATATAATGTGAAATTAAATCATTAAATAACCAAGCAATACAAAGTATTTGAGAAAATAATGTAAAGACAAAAAGAAAAAAATAGGAAGTGGAGAGAAAATATGGGGGTAGGGAATAATGTTGAAAATTTAAACAGGTTGGTCAGGAATAACCTATCTCGTTTAAAAGATAAGTTGAACTATTTGTCAAGGACCTTACATTGTCAAGAAAATATACTACAGGGATTTCTGATGGAATACATTTTAGGCAGAAGCAACAAATAGTCCCGAAACTCAGAGATAGATGAATAACTAATATTTGACAGAAAAAAACCCCTAGCCATGTGATCGACACAAGGAGAGAGGAAGGGAATCAGAGAGATGAAAGGGACATCACTGTAAGGACTTTAATGTTGCAAAAAATGGAAGTTAGAGAAAAGCCACAATTATATGCAATGTTGGACTTGGTTTTTTAAACTTAGTAATATATTTTGTTAGAAATATGTTATAGTAACTAGTAGATAGTGATCAAAATATATTTGTTGAATGAATGAACAGTCTTTCTAATTTAGAGCACACATTGAATCTTTTTATGGGGGTGCACTGGAAAATGAACCCAGGG